ACCTGTCCCTTCACCACCACCGCTGCCCTACACTGCGACGTCGGTACGACCGCAATATCCTACACTGCAACCGCCACAGTCTGAATCAGCCTCGACCAGCGCACCGCAGGACTCCCCCGTAAAACACATACTGAGTGGCTCTGTGAAGAAACCACCGTCGTCGTCACCGAAAACTATTATTTATTCGGATAAAATAGGAGTAGGCTTAGGGCCCCTGTTGTATAACTGTCTAACACAACATGTAACTAATATTTGTTGTCCTGGCATTAATTTTTCTGGCATCATAGAAAAAATTTCTAATGAAAACTATGACGAGCATACTACCGTGGTCATTATGTTAGGAAGTCATATAGGATTAACTAAAAGTGTGTTGGACATTGGTATACAGAAAATTATCAATTTAAGTAAGGTATCTAAATGTAAATTTGTTGTCAGCACTTTACCTTACTGCTCAAATTTGTCAAAAACGCATAATAAGTGTATATATAATATTAACTTATATCTAAATCAATTGACATGTCATCATAGTGATGCCATTTTACTTTTTGACATAAACAAATTTATACATAGTTTTTTTTTGACTCAGGATACTATGTACCTGTCTAGGAAATCAAAAAGACAGATTGCTACATTGTTAGCTTTTAATATACAAAATAGAGTTATAGGAAGTATAACGCAGTCACCTTTGATCGAAATTAGTATAAGTACTAATGAGAATGTTTCTTTAAACTGTTGACTTCGACAAAAGAAAATCTCTGTCAAACTATTTCAACAAATACAGTCAAACAGAGATTTTCTTGCAATAAATTAGGTAAAAATCAAACAACGGAGAAGCATAACTTTCTAAAGATGCTACATCAAAATATTCAAAGCTTCTCCAGCAAAACGTTACTGGTAGAATTATTTTTAGAAAAAAATAAATATGATATTGTTTGTCTGACTGAACACTGGCTTGCAGACTACGAAATGTTAATTAACTATGAAAATTATTTTATAGCCAGTTCCTTCAACCGCAAGCCAAATCATCACTTAAATATAGGCGGTGGATCTTTAATATTATTGCGTAAAAATATTAAGTTTAAAGCTCGCAAGGATATAGTAGGACTTTCGGTTGAACGAAGTGTTGAGGTATCTTGTATCGAGCTGGAAAATCATGTTGTAGTGTGCGTATACAGGCCACCATATTATATCACAATTTTCCTACTTTTGAGAATGTTATGGAAGATGTCCTAAAAATAGCTTGCAGCACAAAGAAACAAGTCATTGTAAGCGGTGATTTCAATGTAGATATTTTAAAGACAGAAAACCTTACAAATAGATTATTACACTTATTTCAGTCATTTAATTTGAGTCACGTGTTTCACGGACCGACTAGAGTGACGTCATCTTCGTCCACTTGTGTCGACAATTTCTTTTGTAGTTGTATTTACTCAAGTAAATCAATAATCAATGCGTTACCATCTGATCACAGTGGACAAGAAGTTATTTTTCCTGCCACTCAATCAAACTTAAAACTGGAAATACAAACTAGGCCAATCACATCTGGTCGATTGGAGAAATTTAACAATGTTTTGGTTGATAAATTGCCTTCCATTCAATTTAATTTAAGTAATCCAAATATTTTTTATGCAAATTTTTTTTCTATTATATCTGCAGAATATAACAAAATTTTTCAAATTAAAAATAAAAGCATTGGTATGTCATTTAAGTTTAGTGACTGGGCGACACCAGGTATAAGGAAAAGCAGAGAGAAACTTTTTGAACTTTACGAATTAAGGAATTATAAAATTAGCGATAAATTTAATGACTACGTCAAATGTTATTCGAAAACTTTTAAAAAAATTTGCATTACTGCTAAAGCCCTTTACATTAGTAATAAAATTAAGATGGCCGACAATAAAATAAAAGCAGTTTGGAATATTATAAATAATGAAACTGGCAAAACAAAACAGCGCGATAGTGATTACAAACTAAATTTAGACAAGGGGCCTGTAAGTTCTAATTTAGAGGTAGCTCAAGAATTTGAGAACTTTTTTGTTAATATTCCTATTAAAACCACTGCATCGCTGAATTCCTCACCAATTCTTTCTGCGACAACACTCAAAAATCATGTTAAACCCTGTAACGCTGATTTTAAATTTGAACATGTAAATGAAAAAACAGTAATTAAAGCTTGTAGGGAAATTAAAGTAAAGGTTACAGAGGATTTATTTGGAATGTCAGTCAAAGTTTGTAGTTCGATAATTGACACTCTGGCGCCATATCTTGCCCTCATTTTTAATACATGTATAGATGAAGGAATTTTCCCTGACTTGATGAAATACAGTAAAGTAATACCATTATTTAAGACAGGTGATAAAGGCGATCCTAGTAATTTTAGACCTGTATCTATTTTACCTGTATTAAGTAAAGTTTTTGAGAAAATTATATTGAATCAACTTCTATCACATTTCAATAAAAATTTTCTTTTACATAATAAGCAGTTCGGCTTCACCAAAGGGCGCTCTACTACTGACGCCAGTGTTGCGCTTGTAAAGCATATTTTTAGTGCATGGGAAGATTCTTATGACGCTATAGGGGTTTTTTGTGATCTTTCAAAGGCGTTCGATTGTGTACAACACGAAACCTTATTACTTAAACTATATCATTACGGTGTCAAAAATAGTGCACTTAAACTTATCAAATCATATTTAGAACAGAGAATTCGGAAGATACACGTAAATGGCTCATATTCACAGGGATCCCTGCTTAAAATGGGAGTACCACAAGGGTCTATTTTGGGGCCTTTTCTATTTTTAGTTTATATAAATGACTTACCACATGTGGTGCAGGATCTGACAAACATAGTATTATTTGCAGACGATACTTCTCTTATTTTTAAAATTTGTAGAAAAACTAGTAACTACGATGACATAAATAACACTCTTCAACTAATTCACAATTGGTTCACTGTAAATAACCTAGTACTGAATGCTAAAAAGACTACTAAATGTATTAAATTTACTTTGCCAAACGTGAAAAGTAATGAGGGTTTAGGAATTGTATTGAATAATGAACGGCTTGATTTGGTTGACAGTACAGTATTCTTAGGGATAACTATTGATGCAAAACTCCAATATCCCCCCCCATATATCTTCTCTGTCAGGAAGGCTTAGCTCGGCTGCATATGCAGTTAGAAAGATTCGACAGTTAACTGACGAAGCAACGGCCAGATTAGTTTATTTTAGCTACTTTCATAGCGTTATGTCTTATGGTATCCTGCTATGGGGCCGAGCGGCTGATATTGAATCCATCTTCATTTTGCAGAAGAGAGCTGTTAGAGCAATTTATCAACTTCGCTGTAGGGACTCGCTTAAAAAAATATTTAAGAGGATACAGATTTTCACAGTTCCATGTCAATATATTTTTGCAAATATTATGTATGTTAGGAAGAATATCCATGACTTTAGTAAATATTCTGATATTCATGACCGTAATACAAGAAAAACAAGAATAATTTAGTTCTTCCTCGCTGTAGACTAGCTAAGGTTAGGACTTCATTCGTGGGGCTCTGTGTGCGCTACTACAACAAAATTCCTGATGATATTTTAAATCTACCGGACAAAAAGTTCAAATTTATTGTAAAGCAGACACTGTTTAAAAAAGCTTATTATAAGTTAGATGATTATTTAAATGACAAAGAGGCTTGGTGTTCCGATACTCCAGCACGGCATGAGAGATACATATTATAAGACATATTGTAAGACGTTGAAAAAGGATTGAAAAAATTTTACTTCGAATAAATGATTTTGATTTGATTGATTTGATTTGAAGGAAAGGACTTAAGGCAACTCTATCTAGTAGTAATTATCCACTTTTCTTAGCGTATCGTGTGAGTAGCTTTGGACGCCCTAAATAATCCTCGCAATCTAGAAAATTCGGTAAGAAACTGAATAAAGTTGAAATATATATATATATATATATATATATATTCCTTACAACTAAAGTCATAATTTTCTTTGTTCATCCAACTATTTTTATCTTCAAAGTTTTTATAGACAATTCATTTTTGAAGATTTATCAGCATTATCAGTTCTCCGTTAAATGTGTTGGGGTTAAAACGTGCGAATCACTTGTCTTCTTGTCGGCGTTAAAGGAAATATTTGCGATGTGTTTAAAAGGTTTTTTTCAAATATTCTCTACATCGAGTAGTGACTGCATACATCAGAATGGTTTATAATGGACACCGTTCATGTTGGACCCTTTTGTCTTTGTTCCTTGTTGTTTTTTATAGTCCGATGAAAGTCTTATTTGGTCCCAGCGGTTACGATAATTCTGTATTTTCACTGCACTTTAGCACAACACATTTTCCGCGATTCTCAGTGATTCATCTAACTTTTTTGATTTCCGACATTTTTAATACCGACACTCACATGCTTTTTAAGAAAAGAAAGAAAATATATTTATTTGCTTAAATCAGGTCGCACACGACAAAAATAAAATAAATAAATTATTATAGTTATAAATACTAAAACTTATATTTTATCAATACCACTTCCAGCAGTTTTATAACTCTTAAACGACGATCCAATTGACATAGTGAGTAGTACACCCTGCCACCTACGCCAGAGGGCGTGGGTTCGATTCTATGAACATATTGTTTTTATATTGTCTGGGTATTTATATATTTGTAACTAGAGACCCTCCCCGGCTTCGCGCGGGTGCAATGTATTATACATAATATAAACCTTCTTGAATCACTATTTAGTAAAAAAAACCGCATCAAGATCCGTTGCGTAGTTTTAAGATCTAAGCAAACATAGGGACGACTTTGTTTTACACTATGTAGTGATATGAATTTATTTACAAAAGAAAAGTATGTACCTATAATTTTGTTTATCAGTTATCTAGTACCCCATAATACAAGCTTTGCTTAGTTTAGGACTAGAAAACGTTGTGTAAAAAATGTGTCCTGAAATATTTAAGCTCAACCTCTGCTATAAAGCGTCTTTGGGTTCCAGGTCAGGGCTTCAAGGACATAATCCGGTGGCCCCGGCCCGGTTATCCGGTGAAGAAGCTTCAGCAGAAGTGGGCCATCGAGTACGGGATGCCCTCCACCCACGCGATGGTGGGGGTGTCCATACCGTTCTCGGTGCTGTTGTACACCATGGACAGGTACCAGTATCCAGTGCACTGGGGCTTTCTGATAGCGGTGTCTTGGTGCACCCTGATCTGCGTCAGCCGCGTCTACTTGGGCATGCACAGCGTCCTAGTAAGTGCCCCTCGACTCTTGTCATCATACAAGCTTTTCACTGCGCCTTTGGCCGCGCGCGAATGTGGTGATTTTAGTGGGATAAATGTTTTCAAATTTCGCAGGAAAAACCGACCCTAAATTAATATAATAATATGTAGAGTAGTAAATTACCGAGCACTTCGCATTTTTAGTTGTTACTTGCGTTAATCGTTTTTACTGCTATTGTAATCATCAATAGCCACAAGTTTTTTTTTGTGTTGATGCAGTAAAAGCAGTTTTTTTTAACGATAATTTATCGCATCGGTTCGTACAAATTCTTATGTTCGCCATTTGCAAAGAAGTTTTTACCATATTGCCGATGCCAGCCCTTGTTGCACGAAGGGGCAAGCTCGTAGAAGATCAGAAGGTTGTTAGTTCGCAGGCCGTGGCTCAGTTGCCAAAGTATTGGCTTCGGCGTGGGGGGTCGTGGGTTCGATCCCCCATTGGGACAACTATTTGTGTCCCACAGATAGTTGTTTCGCATCTGGGTGTTTGTCCACGTGAAATTTATCTATTTTAAACGTCCTTACAACACAGGAAAATTTTATCATAAAGTAAGGGCAATGGTTTATAAAAAATGGTAATAGACATGATTAATAAGATTTTAAACGTGGTAGGGCCACGCAGCAGCTACTGTTGCACGAATTGGCAGGCTCATCCGGGGAAGTACAACCTCACAGATGACGAGGAAATGAAGAATACCATTAGTATTATACTATCGCGTTTCGCCTGACGAGTGAGGTAACTCACTTTTTAAAAGGTTGTTAATGCATCACCAAGTCTTCGGGCGTTATGCAGATGCGTATGGGTGGCGATAATCACGATGTCAGGACCACTTGAGCACCACTTGCTCGCTTGATAACTATTCACATAAAAAAGGTTTTTGGCTCGGGAAACTGGCTGGGAAATACGTCCGTTGGAATAGGGGTGACAAACGATATGTGTCGGCAGAGGAAGGCCTTAAAGCTTGATACACGAAACCTGAACCGTGTAAACTGCAATGAAACAGAGCTTGTGTTGTACTTTCAGGACATAGCTGCCGGGCTACTGTTGTCGTCGGCGCTACTGGTGCCTCTAATACCGCTGGTTGACCGCCTGGACGGCGTTCTCCTCACGGGCTCCTACTCCCCAGTACTCATCCTCGCCGTCTCGATCTTGGTGGTGGTGTACCACCCCCACGCCGACAAGTGGACCCCGACGAGGTACTGACTCCGATTTCTGTTTTCGAGTCATTTCTGTTGGACGTAGCACGTTAGTTAATTTGTTGTAATTTTATTTAGATGAGAAGATTTCGACCTAATTCAATATAAGATCATCTTGTATTTTGGTTGTTTGAAGCGGGGAGCGAACTAACGGCCACGACACTGAAGTCTATCGGTTGGTTACTGCGCCAACGGGAACAATCAACTTTCCCGCCATTATTACATCTCGAGTTTGTCAAATGAGCCTATGTAGGAAACGGCTTATGACAAATGAGGACATAAGACATAGACGATATTTTAAGTGTGGTGGTGCCGCATTTGCAATCCTATGGGTTTTTTAAATGACCACGGGCGGCGTTTATCGCTTAACATCATGTGAACCGCCAGCTCATTTGGAACCTTCATAGAAAAAAAATCAATTGATCCTGAACATTGTTTCCTTTCATAATTATATTGTAATGTCTACTTTACTAAAGGTTGCGTAATGACTGCATTACATAACACTGCTACGCCTCAGACAATGTTTAAATGATTGGTGATGATTAAAATTGGTTTATTCTTCTTCGTCTTCTTCTATCTGGCATTGATCCCCGCTATTGGCTAGGATCTGCCTTCTTTTTTTATGTGAAAAAAAGAACTACTTAAACTCCTCCACTTTTCTCTTCACGATCTGCGACATCCTCAGGGGTTTGTCCATTGGCTCTCATGTCCTGGACGTCCAGTCATCGCTTCGTTGGGCGTCCAGGAGGTCTAGCTCCGGGGACAGGCATATCGAGGCATATCCTTCCATTTAAAATTGGTTTATTAATTTCGTTATTTCCTACAAGGGATTGTTTTACCGAGAGCTTTGGTGTGACAGTTAATAGTAGTTTCGGAACGAGAGAAGTCCGAGAAACAAACACATGACTAGGCATACCATTGAATTACATGTTTTGAAATGCGGGGTGCATTTCAAAACATATAAGCTGTATTGCTAAACTAGTAGAGATTTTAAACCCTGACGTAAAAGGGTGGTAAGTTTGACGTGTCTGTCTTAGTATTTGTGTCGTGAAAAATTTACTGTTAAAACTGACGTGATCGTAATATAATTTGAGCTTTTTTGCGTCTGAGGGATACTTAAAATTTATAATTTTATCTTGTGTCTATGCATATTGTTGGTCGGTTCTAGTATGGGAGTTTTCTATAAGGGGTACTAGGTAATTAAAACATTTAAACGCGCATTTACGACTCTTTGCATCCATTATGGCCCTACGCGTCCTCGTCTTTATTTCATTTTCGTGACAACTACCCGTTAATCGAGCGAATTTATTTTTTTATTGTCTATTGTCCGTTACGTTTATATTACAGTTTGGTATAATTATTGATTGGAAAATTTTAATGTTTTTTTTTTCAACTGAGTCTTTAATGTACAATAGTCACGTCATAAAGTTGTATTAAGTATCTGTTTACTTATGCAACATTTTGTAAAAACTACTGGCAAGGACCTATTACATTGCCGTATTCATTGATGTATTCTTCATCAAGGACAAGGGTGTGGAATTAACACTTGCTCTGCACTTGCTAGTCCCATGGCTGCTGCTAATTTTGCAATCAAATAAGTTTCCGAAGAAGACCGCAGAGTTTCTTGCCGGTTCTTCTCTGATCAGCTATAGTTTCGTGAATCTATAATAGGTTTTTTCGACGCTCAATAACGAGCTCAAATTACGCCTATACTAAATAAAGAAATTTTGACTCTGACAACAGACATCCGCTACTGTTTCCGTCACTTTTGTAACGGAAACTTAAATAGAAATATTATGAGAAGGTGGCACCTATCGGCCCGCTGGCACGGGGGTCGTCTTCAATACTCTTCTACCTCGTTTGAATTAACTAGACCACTTCTGAATAGTAGATAATGAAGCAGCAGTATCTTGGTATACAGTCATAATTTCTTGGTGGATAATTTTTGCCGACCAATAAAGGGTTGAGATTTCGGGTAACGGAGGTTTTGGTGATGGGAAGGAAACAAAGCTTTTTTTAAGTTCTGGAGGTTTTCGACTTATATGGGTTCTTCTGTACAGATAGAAGCATCAGAACTAGTTTATCAAGGCACGTTTAAAAAAAAATAACAGACTATATATGTCCCACCGCCTTGGACAAAGGCCCCCTCTGTGCAAAGGGCATTAGGGCACAGTCCACCGCGCCTAAGACACATTTCTTGTTGCTATTTCGAAAATATGCAGGTTTAACCCCAATGTTTTTCTTCACCTCTGCTTGATAATTCAGCACTTGAAATTAACAGTTTCATTGGTGCCGGAACCGGGAATCGAACCCGCGTCGCTCGAGTGTATTGAACTATAAGCGAGCGCCCGGACGATGGGCTATTACGGCCCTTTGGCCTCCTTCAAACGGCAAAGGACGCTGACGAGTCAACAGGCGGGCTCTGGTCCGCAGGGGCGACACCACGATGATAGTGAGCGTGTGCGCCGGCATCCTCGCTGGCTCGTGGTGCAACTACCAGCTGGGCAACATGAGGGCCAGCGGCAGCCCGCCCCCCTACCGCATCATCTGGCCCTCCGTCGAGATGCTCGGCTGCACCATTCTGAGGACGGTGCTGGGCCTTTGCGGGGTGCTGGCCACGCGCGCCGTCGCCAAGTCCGCCTCGTACGCGGTGCTGTGCGCGTTGCTGCCCGGCCACAGCTGCCACACCTGCCACAGCTGCCACAGCGGCCACACCGGCCACGGTGGCCACAGCGGCCGCGACGTGGCCGTCGAGCTGTGCTACAAGTACTTCACGTACGGCCTGATCGGCTTCAACACCACCTACGTGTTCCCGAACGTGTTCCACCTGCTCAAAATAAACAGGCCCACGTACTACACGGAGATTTGAATGTTCCCACTCTCCCATTTTTGTGTGAGAAGGTGGCAAACGGGCTGGCGGTTTGTGTTCAGTGATAACGCCGCCCATGGACATTTGCAACAACCGTAAGGTTGCGGATACACTGCCGCCATTTAACAAAGTGGGGCCCGATCACCTCACTGACCAGACGAAACGCTGGAATATAACCACTTCCACTTCACACCAATGGGAAGTACCACGACCTCACCACTTCCCTGGATGGCCGCGTTGAGGCGTTGAGTGCTGCGTGGTCTTACCTCAGTGAAGCCACCTCCTTAAATGTACCGCACATCTCGAACGTTGTTGTTCTTCTTTTCGATTGATAGTGCATGCTAGTTGTTTCAATGCTCGCCTACGAATACCACTCGCACTCATTTCCACCGTTCAAAGAAGATTCTGTAATTTCATCAAAGAATAGTCGAAAACAAACCAATACGAAGATAACATTAAATACGATCGACACGTATATTTGATTGTCATTAGCGAGTACAGGAACTATATCACTGCCCACACTTTTAGTTTATATAAGCGCACAGAGTGAGAGGTTGCAGTTCAATACATTCCCCTAGTATTTAGCGCCAGTGAGATCAAACTTGTATTAATAGGCAGTTAGAAACTGTACACTATACTGCCATCTAATTTACCTCCTATCTCAAGAAACTTTGATGACTTCGTGGCGCAGTTGCCAAGGTATTGGCTTCGGCGTCGGGGGTCGTGGGTTCGATTCCCACACGGGACGACTAGTTGTGTGACCCACAGGTAGTTGTTTCGCATCTGGATGTTTGTACGCGTGAAATTTATGTTTGTAAAACGTCCCTACAACACAGGATAATGTTATCCTAAAGTAAGGGCAATATTTAAAAAAAAAAAAAAAGAAAAAAAAAACTATGGCCAAGGGCTGGAACTGTACCGAGTAGATGGTTATAAAGGTGATGGAAATATTGTCACATTTATGTTATTTCATATGATATATAAATCGGTATGAAAAAAAAAAGAACGTACGTTTCGTATAAATAAAATCGAACGATATAAATTGAAAGAAATAGGCTTAATTTAAAATTGATTAGTTATATACTTGTAAATTATATATTTAAATTAAATAATTCCGTGAGCTGTTCGACACGCCCACTTTTGTAATAAGATTTTATTCTTACGATAAAACTATTTTTTTATCATATTGACCAATCAATATAGCTCTGTGTTAAAATTAATGTGATAACATTCAGGCCACCTTGTGTATACTGAGCAATTTGTTATTACTTTATACAGATTAAATGTTGTGGGTTTTCCGGGGCCTTGGTTGGAATCAGGCGCACCTACAATAATATTGGCAAATTTTATCTCGATTGTTTATTGTATACAATAATAATTACTTTAAAAAACTTTTAAGTTAAACGGTTTTATTTTATGTTTTTTTTTGTTAATTTTTTTTTTGTTAATATTGTATTGTCATCTAAATTAAATGTGTGTACCAAATTTCAGATCAATCTGACAACGGCAAGGTGCTTAAATTTCAATTTCTAATTTTGACCCAAATAAATAAACAAACAAATTCCGTACGGGTCGAGCTAAATAAAACCGTTTAAAAATGGCAAACTTTCAATAATCGTGGTTTTATATCTTACAAGACTGGTTTCAAATTGATCTTGAGGAAAATATGGAAAAGGCATATGTGCCAATGTATTGCTAGGTGAGCGACAAATTATCGATGTTTAGAACGATAAAGTAACGACCGGTTTCTGAATCACTGATCATCGTGAGATTAACTAATCAGCCGTCAAGTGGCTTTTCAAATGGTTTAGCTACATATTTGAATTGATCATTCTGAGCATTAAGAAGACCATTCTGATCAATTCAGAGAGTCTAACCATCCTTTTAGCAACTCAAATGACATTTGAAAAGCCATTTGACAGCCGATTAGTTAATTTCTACGATGATTGATTAAGAAACCGGACGGGAGGCTTCAAAGATTGATATTTTCTTTTTTAATAACCGAAATACTAAATGGAGGCACCGTGTTATTTATAAAAAAGCACTCGTCCATTAGTCATTTTGAACTCTCACATTAAAGTAGGCAATAATTTGTTGTTATTCAACCGGCGTTGTAGTCGCTTATAGATATATACAGGTTGATCTTGTTCGTAAGTTTAAACTTGTGATAACTTTAAATAGGGAGCTTTACGCGTCGCTAGAAAATCAAATCTCGCGACGCCTTGAGCGGTTCATATACGGTTAGTGATGTAAAAATTATTTGTGGTTAGGGTGATGCAAACTTTAAACAGGCAAGATTGGTGCTAAAATTATTATTGTCAACGTAAAAGTTAAACGTGATTATACGTGTATTTATCTGAGTATAGTTTGAAGAATAGGCCACATTAATTGTTAAAATCCATGTACTTTTTATGCTAGAACTGTTTTGGGGGAAAGGGAGTCGTGTTAGTTTCAGCTTAAATCTCACCTCTACAACATCACGAATAAAGTGATCCTAATTTATTGTTTAGGCTATATGATCTTCGCAGTTAGGTTTAAAGCTTGAAGTTTACTGAACATATAGTGATTAAAATGCACAACATAGTAACAAATGTGATAGTATTTATAAAATAATTAGACATTCAGTCTTATTCAATCCAGTTAATTTTGAAATTTTCAATTTACTACATGTATGTATTTTCCTGAATTGTGTAATCATCTGATGAAAGTTGTTGTTGCCGCCGTTTTAATTTTCAGGCAGTGGTATTATAATACAGCGTGTCGTTACCATCGCGTAAAATATATATAAAAAATATATAAAAATATTAACGTAAAAAAATCCACAATAAAAAAATATTTTTCAAACAAACTAATTAAGTAAAAAAGAAACATACATTCAGAGACTTTCTCATTCGTTGTCACAGTTTCAGTGCATGTTTTGTCTCTTTTAAATTCATTCAACCCATCCATAACAGTTTTATAATAATAACATACGTAAGGATGTTCTAAAATTCTTTGTTTTGGAAAATTTAATAACTCTGTAAATATTGATGTTTAAAGAATGTAAATGTTTAATACAATTTTAAAAAGTTATCTGACATATGTGTGTTCATTTATTGTCGCGATTGTAAAGACAAGCTGTATATGATAGCGTTTAGTTACTGCACAAATGAATTTAACTTGAATAGCTATTAACTTGTGTTAAATTAATAGAATCATTTGCAAATAATCAAAGTGATTATTGTAATTTGTAATCTGGGTGTATAGTATTTATAATTTTGATGTATTGAAAATGTTAGTTACATTATAATACGAAGTAATTCATTTGTTGATAATTGTTGAAGATTAATCGTTTATAGTTAATATTATATCATTACTAATCAATTTATTTACCTACCTATCTTGTCGTTGATTTGGTTGTTGTTTTTATTAGACCAAGTGACGTGTTGTATAGTATAAAAACCGATGTCTTCTTCAAAATACATCATTCTGTTCGGAGTGTTCATGGTGTGTACTTTGAAGTAAAAAATTATAACAGTGATCAAGCTTTTATTATTATTGTGTGTGCGTAATGTTACTACAATGTCATATCGTACACTGTTGTTCAGCAATAGTGGCCAAAACTTAACATATGTATATATATACATATTATATCTTAAAATTAAATATTTTTGCGATAAATTACTTTTTTATTTCTTTGAACGGACACACAATGCTTAGAACGCCACAGCGAATGCCACTTTGGCATTAGCATGTAGAGGCATCTAGCGGGAGGCCTTTTAACGTCTTCCGTTTCGTGTTCGCCACTCGAGAACTTTTTCTTCGGCCACTTGAGCTTGCAAATGTGGTAGCTCTCCAGAGCGGGCCGGTGTCTCCGGTTCTTCGGCGAATTTCTCGTTACGGTTTTCGACCGATATGGCTCGTTAAACTTTTTGTAATGTTTGATTGGGAAATAGTCCAGCTAATTTAGGTAAAATAAAAATATTTCAGAACCTTTGCAAGACTTGAAATGTGCTTAGTCACAGAGCGGTAACACAAGGAATATTAAAAAATAAACTACCTACTAAGTTATGTAAGTTGACAATTGTACATAATGTAACAGCATGCAAATTAGGTCGTGCGAGTTGCAACGATGATTTTATAGGCGCTTCGCGAACAATGATGTAATCCAATTAGTAGTCAAATAGTTCAGATTTGAACCTATACGCATATTTGAACTCAGGTTTTACGAGAAAAAATTATGTTACATGTAACGTCAAATGTAAATGTCCGTTTGTCTAGCGAGCTCAAATGTAAGTATCCATTTGACCTTTGATAAATATTTAATATCTGCGACCAAGTTATATTGCGGTGACCGCGCCGCCTTTTGGGAATCCAAAAGGCTCGAGTCCGGTTCTGTTTCGATAAAATGACTATTTACCTAACAGCTAAATTTGTAGAAATTTTATTGATACTGTTATCTACTGACGATCGTGCTGATTTTGGTTCCTTTGGGACCTTTGATGATCTGTAGGAGGCAGGCCAAAAAGCCATTATAAAATTAAACTATGAAGGGTTGACTTTTGAATTGACGGTAGACTTTCGAAGTGGTAGAGCCTCGCAACATCCTTCGCTGTTGCACGATTGGGCAGGTCCGGCCGGATGTGGTAAATCTAAGTGTTGTACTTCTGTTTCGTCTGGTGAGTGAGGCAGCCGGGGCCCGCTCATTAAAAGCGACGTATCTGCAACCCTACGGTTGTTGAAAACGTCCATAGGTGGCGGTAGTGACTAACCATCAGGTGAAACGCCAGCTCGCTTGCCATCTCCTCACATATAAAATAGTAAAATGACATCATCAATCATTTACTGTTTTTTTTTGGTTTTAATTGAGTCCTGCTTTCTTGATAAGGAGTCTTGTCTTTTATACGTAAAATATTAAAAATAATTTACTGTAATAATTCCGGGACACTTTTATGTTAGGTAGACAATGACTACAGTTTCGAAATGCCATTATGAACTACGAGAACTACATATAGAGGTCAGAGCTTTTGGATATAGTTAACTAGTTTTCAAGGCTATTTTAATCTATTTTTACAGCGACAACATAGTTACGTAGGCCCCTCAAGACATAAACGAACGAAGGAACGAATTGCTTGTATTCATTAATGACTTGCAATTTATTTGGCTTTTAAGATTTCACATTATTTTATATAATTAAAAAATATTATTGTACCTACTCAATACAATCACAGTTCAATGTATGGGCGGCCAGAGGTTGTCTGATAGCGAGGATTGATAAGTTGGCTTGTGTGCCCACTGCATGTTAACGAAATAGGGATCATTATTCATTTATGTGTAGATTTTCTTTTAAGTAGCATGGTACCGATTCCTGCTTTCAGTCCTTAGACTACCTATAAGCAATTATAGTCGAAGGAATCCTTAAGTTACTAATTATGCAGTAAAAAGATGCCATGAGAAAAACATCAATAACAAAATATAAAATGCGAATGGTGCAGAGTTCGTCGATTTCTACCCTCAGGACTTTCGCAGTAGAGACATCCATGAACTTCCATTATAATGACAAAATTGCGTCGAATAAGAGACAACGAATAATTAAATATAAGTTTTTCATTGAAAAAAATTGTATGATTTTATTTCTTAACCACGATGACCAAATACTTAATTAACTTCCGACTCAAAAGTTCTCGTATTCAAAGGGATCCATATAATTTATTAAGAACTGGTAATTAGCACGAATTGCTAAAATTTACGTGCACTGAATCAGGATATTTCAAGGTTCTCCAAGTAATTCCGATCTTACAATAAAGGGCATTTGAGATAAAAGATGAAAATGTGGAGTCCAGTATAAAAGTATGATAATGTATTTTGAAAAGGCTTTATTTTTTTGTAAATTTTCATACTTATATGTACAAAGCTGTGTAGTGTGTACATAACATTTTTAAATGTCTCGAAATTATAACAACGTTCCTGATGACAAAGTATTTATTATCTATAAATGAAATAAGTGTAGAACAGTGGCGGTATCGTACGGACTTACGGAGACATGTCACCAGCGAAGTAGTACAGTAGACGTCCGTCGTTCTGTTCATAGATAAGTCATACTGGTTCTGTTTTCTCCTTCAGCGCCACAAATACGCTTGCATATGACTCGCTGTCAAATTGATTTCTTTACCAATGTTTTCTTTTTTCTTGTTTATTTCCAACTTAATTCGCTTTCACCGAATTGTTGCTATGAACTATCTGTGCTTTTTATTTCTCGCTCTCATTCTATAAACTTCTGTGGATATTGTTATAGGCGCCGCAAAGAACATTGTAAGCAGTCTCCACATTTATTTTACCATATCGAAACATTTTATTTATTAAACTCTCACACTTGTTTTTTTTTAATGAATTTAATCGTTGGCATGTACAAAGTTATCAATTTTTTTGTCTATTGGTTGATTGTTTACAATAGCGGCACGTTCGTTTATAGTATACACATATTTTTAATCGATAAAGAAATAGGATCAGTTCGTTGAGCGTACATTTGACGCGACGCACTATACTATGTTTTTTGTTTTTTAATAATGTTGACCCTATTACGATCGATTTTAAAATGACCTGTGTAATTGCCTAAATCGTTTTAATCAATACTTTTACAAACGCTAATCGGGTTTAGTTTGAATTTATTCTAATCAAGTTATATTTTACGAAGAAAAATGGCGCTTTAACTAAAGTAATATATTTATATATGTTTATTTTTATTTATGGACCCAGCCAGACGAGGGAACAAATAAATATCCCCGCCATAGTATATTTTACTAATGCGAACTATAATTGCAAGATTTAATTATTTTTTTCTCAATATCTATTATTAACACTAACCAATTTATTGCCATTGCGAGTCGCAACTCATGGTACCAACGTTTCCTTCGTACTCTAAAATACCGTCTCTCTTCCAAACTACTACTATTATTATAATCTTAGTGCATTTGATCTGTTATAACAAAATGACCATATAACGTTAAACAGTAACAAATAACGTAAGCTCGACGCCCTTTGGTTTTTAATGACCTTGCTTCTTCTATATACTTGAAGGAAATTTTTTAAATGTACTAATTTTAATTAACCCACGATAGGCACTTTGCTCTTCAGCAAGTAGCAAACTTTATGCCGGTGGTCAGGTCGTACCATTCCGGCTCAAACTTTAAAACTTACCTAATTCATTAGAAAATCATTAAGTTTTCTTTATAAACGCTGCAATCTCACTGTACCAACGTTAATAGCTAAAGTACTAACTACGTACAGCGTGATAAAGCTACGATAAGTGATAAAACTGTATTAATCCACTTGAAGCAAATTGGGAAAGTAAAAAAACTTGAACAATGGGTACCTTATGAATTGAGTGAATCGAACTTGCAAACACGCTTCGACTGCTGTGTTACTTTGCCCAACCGATACAATAATGAAGGGATTTTAAATCGAAATCATTACTAGTGATGAAAAGTGGATACTGTACGATAATCTGAAGCGCTTGTCGCAGTGGCTATACCTTTGGGACCCAGCCAAATCCTGCCCTAAACGAAAATTGATTCAGTAAAAGTTACTTGCGACTGTTTGGTGGGCTTTCACTACAGCTTTCTTAAATCTGGCCAAACGATTACGGCAAACATCTATTGTCAGCCGTAATCGTTTGCAAACAATGAAGGAAGAAATAGCTGCTAAACAACCGAGATTGGTCAACGCAAGACCACACACTGCACAACAAACAACCACTAAGTTAGATGAGCAACAATTGGATTGCGAACATCTGCGACATCCACCGGACATTGCTCCACAGGTTACGATTTTTTTCCGGAATTTGGACAACTTCTTACAAGGGAAAAAAAATTCAACTCCGATGCGGCAGTCCAAACCGCCTTCAAAGAGTTTATTGATTCTCGCCCTTCATGGTTTTTTTAGTAAAGGGATCAACGAACTATTAATGAGATGGCAAAAGTGCATACTTTGATTAATAAAATATATTTTACAAAAAAAAATGACTTTATATTCCTCCCGTACAAAACACGAATTTCATATGTAAGGACCTTATTATAAAAATAACAATCTTCCGTTTACTGCATTGCCGTTTTCTATTTCATCATTCAGGAAGTTTAATTTTAATTTTGAGTCCACTGAACATAGCCTCCCCCATAGACTGCCATGAAGTACGATCCTGAGCCACCTGCATCCATCGACTTCCCGCACATTTGCACAGGTCGTCGCTCCATCTAGTGGGGGTCGTCCTACACTGCGATGGCCAGTACGCGGCTGCCATTCTAAATTTTTTAATTAGGTCATATCAGTTTTGTAAAACTGGTTTGGGGAAAATTGACTGTTTAATTGCTTTTTACTATCAGAAAAGTAAAAATAAAACCACAAAATCCATATATATTATATTTCATATTCATAGTGTTTGTCAAAACCGTATTACATAAAAACAATATTCGATATATACTCGCTTAGCAGTAAAACATATATGTTATATATAAAAAAATTAAACATATTAAACATACTTACAATTAATTAATATAATAAATTAAAACGAAACTGCACACAGTGGGCAGTCTGTCCTCGTATGTTATAGAACAAAATTCCCACGAGTGTTCTTTATTACAAATTTTGTCGATACTATTGCTAAACTATTTACATGCGATGGATCGTAACAATAATCAACTCGCCTTAACGGGAGACCGATATAGTACTAGGATATTGCAAAAACATCGCTGTCCATTGTACGATGTGACTGCGCAAACGAGTTAATGGCGCTGGGCGTTGAAATTTGGAATCTTTCGGCGGCACGGGTCTCGAGGTAGTCTCGAGGAAACGCGAGCTTTGCTTGTGTGACATTGGTGTCCTTGTCAGCCGCTTTCTACCGAAAGCTGGTGCAAGGAGCCCCCCCCCCCCCCCCCCCCCCCCCCCCCCTAACTTTACAACCAAAGTCTAAGCCGCGACGAACTCGGGAGGTTTCGTCGGGATAAAGTGAAACACTAGCGCCCCCTGTCCGCTCAGTCGCATTCCGGACGAGTAATAGAGATAGACATATATAGACTTAAACAATTACGACATACATATTTATAGGAGTCACCGTGGATATTTGTCCGCTTGAGTCGTTTACGCAACTCGGCAGAGTCGACGGGAAGACTGAACACCCCCCTACCCCCACTCATTACACGAAACAAACATGTCGAACTTTCCATCAGCTGTTTACGTTAAAATAACTAGTGACAGTAAGCAACGAAGGTTGAAGGGAGCCGTCAAGACTAAGTCTTAAAATAAATAAACGAACGTCACACGTGCGCATGTCTGCATGCCTCAGAAATTCCATGGATTCCTCTTAACATAACACTCTTTTTATTACAGAATTTTCCCTCCGCGTATTTAGAGATTGCTGTCACTTTACATTTTAGCGAACAAAACCCTTCTCATGGTCACTTAAAACGAACCAATCTGCTCTTTGGAAACCGTAACGATTTCTATCGCAGTTCAATGTTCACATGTAAAACATACCAAACCATTTGAACTTTAGACTAATATGTATACATATATAAATAACAGTGTAATTTTCTAGGCAGTGAATGATCACTAATACATGATTATAGTATGGCTAGGCCAATGATTCTCTTTCAGGCTCAGGCTCGACGCTTGGGGGTGGAGGGTTGGCTGGTGGGGGGCGCGGCGATCGCATTTAGGCGACATTGATTGCATTGGTGTTGTCTCTAAATTTTTCAAACAGGCTCTCGATGTCGCTGTCGTACATCTGGAACAAGGAGACGCTTCTTTAAACTGTGTGACCTTCAATGACCCCCAAAACATTCACATGACAATCGCGATAAATTTGATGTTAATTTCTCTTCATTCGGTTTGTATCGAAGACATAGAGTGTATACCACGTCAGGGCTGTACGTCACAAGTTCAAACAAACACCCAGCCGGTGTTGACGCAACTTTTGAGCGACGCTAATGTTTACGATTGCGAGCCTGGTTCGTGGAACGCGTCGTCTCGTTCCATGTTAGGGCGTGTTTGGCGCTTTGCGGAAAATTCACGGTGTCGTCACACGCGAACGACATGGCCGGTGATTAATCTATCAAGGGTTTGTGCGTGATAGGGAGATTGACTATGTCTTCTTCCATTTTATTTATTTAATTATTTTATGTCAGAAGCTGGCGGTTCACCTGATGTTAGGTGATAACCGCCGCCCATTGACAGGTGCGTTGCCACCTTATAATAAAGTGGGCCCCAGCTTCCTAACTCACCAGACGAAACGCAGAAGTATAACACTTCCACTTCACGCCAGTCTTCTGTGAGGTCATGGTTTTACCCGGACGGACCTGCCGATGCGTGCAACAGAGAAGACTGTTGCGTGGAAGTCTTGAACAGCACGATTGGTCAGATTCAGAGGCAATAAGAACACCGATGTTCTTCTCTTCTGTCAGCAGATTGCAAACGAACAGTGCGTATAGCATAGACATACAACAGCTGAAAGAATTTATACAGTTATCTCGTCCGGTTAGCTGTGACCGGATCCCCTCCGTTAATGGCTGTTGACTTATCTGATGCAACAGATCGATGTCATGAAAAAAATCTATCTCCCAAACCATTGGTAATGCTAGACATTACTAATGGTAATTTAGTTATTAATGTTAGAGCGCTCACTAAAAACCAGGAGCCTATGTCCGCGTTTACATTCCGCATCGGCCGAGAGAGAGAAAACCATTTCAAAGTCAAATTCAAAATTCCCTCATTCAGTTCAAGCTTGTTTCAAGCCCCTATCGGACGTCAAACTGCCACCGGTACGCCAAATTCTGCCGAGACCTGTGCGGGGAAAGAAACTGCTAGGAACTGCGGTCTCGTTGTCTCCTTCTATCCAGCTTCGCTCACACCGGTACGCCAAATTCTGCCAAGACCTGTGCGGGGGAAGAAGATGCTAAGAAACTGCGGTATCATTCGTTGTCTCCTCTATCCCTCCTACACCAGCCAAATTCTGCCGCTGTGCGGGGGAAGAACATCCTAGGAAACTGCGGTATCATTATCTTCCTCCTATCCAGCTTCGCTCACCTCCTCGTCGCTGTCCGACTCCGAGTCTTCGCCGGTGTACGGGGCGAAGGCGTGTGCGGCTCCCGTGCCCACGGCGAATCGTCGCGGCGTCCGCCCGGCGAAGTCCCGAGTGTACGGATCGCAGCCGCGCTGCAGCAGCGAGGAGCACAGCCGCCCGTCGCCCCGCCTCGCCGCTATGTGCAGCGGCGTCCAGCCTGCTAACCCCTCCTGCGGACGGGATCGAAATCATAATCATTTGTTCATCGACGTAGGAAACGTACGTTTTATCTATCGATAGTTATTTTTTAATCTACCACCGTTTCGCGATGAGGTTCCCCTAACGGAGAAGAAACAGGCGAAAGAAACTCCGTAGGTATCCATCCTTTTATTTGTCGTTTTTCTTTTACCTCAAACATAATTTTTTTTATTTACGCTTGGGAGCGATCAACTCATTCCCAGGGGTTATTGTCATTAATGTAATCCTTTATATTTTAATAATCCGTTTTATAGTTTTTTTTTAACAAAGTTCTTAAACCTGTTAATAGCCAATGCCATCTGTGACTCCAGCTGAACTGCTAAGGGAAATTATAAAAGCTAATGTTACTCAGTGCTAGACCGTAACTCATTGCGCTCAACCTGACGAAGGACCTCCTAGACCTATTGGCCCGAACTAGTCCTATAACTATTGGACGTGAGTTCAGCCGTTCCATTATTTTGTTAATAAATGTCTCACAAAATCAAAATCAAAAATATATTTATTCAAATAGACGCTTGCGCGCTCTTATGAATCGTCAAATTTTACATCAAAGTTTATGTATATAGGTTCGTAAGGTACCACAAAAGTAATGACTCGGTTGCGCCGTCGCGAGTTCGCTCCCACACGAGACAAGTATTTGTGTGATCTAAAGATAATTAATTGTTCCGGATCTGGGTGTTTGATTCCCAAGGAGAGTTGACGTCGTAAAAATCGTAGCCAAAACCACTTACAATATGATTCGCATGCTGTACCGACCCCACTAAGGTAGGATAAGGGCAAAACGACGACGATGAATGTCTCACGAAAACCAATCATGAGAAACAAATCATGAAACTTTGCAGTTTGACGATTGATTTGTCAAGAAATAATATACGCATACAACCAGGTTTTTTTAGCACGTTTATGAGTGCAAAGACTTGCGTCTCATGGTTAATGTGAAAAGTTTCAAGGAAACATGTGCTGTTTCTTTGAAATCTGCCGCAGTTAAAACGTTCAGAGTGGAAGGTAATGTTGCATAGGCAAGTGAGGAGTTTGCTAAACAATCGCCACTACAACAACCCGTCCGCTTTGAGGAAAACTATGATGAAACAAACAATCCCGTGAAACGAGCGAATATCAAGGAAAACTGCTAAGCGACGAGGGGACTTTGACACTAAGCGTTATGATGACGAATAGACGGACGATAAACATTTCCTAAAATATTCAGCCGCGTTATAACACGTCATTTATATATATAATTATTCTGTACGTGGGTATTTCACTACTCCTCCTAAACGGCTGGGCCGATTTTAATGAAATTTTATGTGTGTGATCAGCTGGATTCGAGAAGGGTTTAGATTCACAAAGTTATTGAAAAAAGTTTGAAACTTTCGAATTTAAGACGTGTGTACAGGACAACGTCTGTCAATTCCGTTAGTTTATTTATAATTTTTACGCAAACAAAATCCACATTCAGCATGGTTAGTGCCTTAAGCATGCTCTGTTTCAACTCTGGTAATCTGGGCTCTTATGTCTAAGTTCTTTAAAGATTTTTCATTAACCTACAACAGAGTTGCCAATCGACTGGGGGCATTACTCATGGAAATGTTTCCATTATTATAAGTAAACTAAGTCTTTAGAAAACAAAACACCTTTCAGTTTCGATAGCCCTGAATACGTATTGAATTACTGCTTTGAGTTCTTTATTATAACTTTAGTACGTGTCAACGCATGTATCATTATTTATTTTAGGCATTTCTAATTCCTTTGTTCTATTTTTGTATTTACTGAATGAATGACTTACTGTTTGAATGTATTACTGTTTGTTAAATTGGTCAACTCGGAATTATTTAGACGGCGAACTGATCATTTACAGATTCATAAGAACCTAAAATTAGAAATGCTCACTCGACAAGGTAAGCGTATATTTTAACGTTTTATCTTTATCTTTTCCAAGGAAAATGGAACACCTGCCAACAGCTAAGCAAAGTAAAAGTTGCTCTTCATTCGGTGACAACGTGTACCTACGTGGGAAGAACACAAAAACCCCGCGTTATCAGCGCTATCGGCTGATTAAACGTTAGCCGGCGGGATTCCCGACTCGCGGCCTTGTCTCGAGTGCTGCGGCGAGGCCCTTCGCTCCGAGAAAGGGCATTTTCGTTCTGTTTACTATGGTATTTGACAAGAGAGATATTCGTATGAATGAAGAACTGTAGCTGCCATAAGGCCTCGCGGTCCTGGTCCCCATTACTAGGGCGTAATCGCGACCAGCAGAAGGTTAGTCGATGGTGAGGATGGCCAATGAGCCAACCCTATCTCCAAGATATTTTCAGTGGCTTAACTTCGTCATATAACGTGCGTCATGTTCGAATAATTAGCTTGTCTAGAATTAAAAACCTTAATATATTGCATCTGTACTCACTCTTGTACCGTTACTGAAACTCATCAAATTCATGCCTAAATGATCGTTTAAAAATAACTATATGGGCACTAAGGGTAGCTATTAAAAAAATGGTAATTCATGTGTGGGACACTGAAGTTACAACAGCGAAATTCAATCACGACGAGTAACTAATCGTGGAGCAGATAAATCCAACGCTTTATTTACATCAACAGGTGACATCAAAACATGTAAACAACTTCACGAGACAGCAAGCGATTGTGTTCCCTTACCTCTACATAATAGTCCTCAGATTGGCGTAGAGACGGGGGGCATTGGATTTCTTATTCACGGCTCAATGTACTTAGAAGGGGCCCTACGTGATCTGATACACGGCGCCGTCAACGGCATAGCAAGTGATATAGAATTGCAAAGCTTCAAGGAAATACTGTAAGTATAATTGAATAAGATCGAAGATTTTCTTTCAAAGTTTGCTTTTGCATATAGTGAGAGTGAGACATTGGAAGTCGGTTTTGATTTTCTGTTAATAAAAATGTACTAGTGAAGAGGATGATAAGACTCAAGTTTGTCCGTCTAAGCTGAGGTATACAAAATTCTAGAAAAATAAGACTACAGATTATGTTGTTGGACAACATTTGTTGATTCTTGAGACCAAATCGGGCAGCAGGAACGGTATCCAATTATCATGCATGTTACCAGCTTATAGATCGTCAGTCAAACGTGGGCGATGTGGAAGCCGGTGGTAATGTGAAAAGGAGCGGAACAAAGAGAGGAGGAAAATCGCGTGGAACTCACCCCAGCGTTCATGTTGGCCCCATGGTTGGCCAGGGTGCGTAGGAGATCCATTTGGCCCGCGTACGCCGCCAGGTGGACGCACATCTGACCTGTGAGGAGGGAGTCTTCGTTAACAGTGTCAATACAAGACTTGTGACGGTGCACACCTTATCATAACGCTCCAAAAATTAGCTGTCTAATTTGATCAGTCTGAATGCAAAGTCAGTCCAACATATGACTACGTGAAGAGAAAGTAAATTCCCACGATTAGCCGCGTCCTTCGCAAGCGTGTTTAGAAAATAACGCGATTTCAAACAAGCAGGGTACATAAAAAAGTAATGGTAATATTAGAAGCTTGGTTACAGCAGACACGTTGCCGCGTGACGTCATCACGCGGCAAACACTACCGCGATTTTATCTAAATAATTATGGCGTACGTTATAAATATTTTAAGAGCTGCACAGATAAAAGCTACAGTTAGGATCCATCACAGTGGCCGCTACATATTCATTTCTCTTATTTTTAAGTTTAAATGTACACATTCTTCGGTTTATAATATTACCTTAAATTTATTTAACATTTCATAAGTTCCATTTCCGCCTAAATGGACAGCCTTACAACACTATACGAAGTGACAACATTCAAATATAGATCTAACATCAGATGAAGAATGGGTGTCTTTAATAAAGAATAAGTTACGTAAGTTTCTTCCGCATATTCCTAACCGATCGACGTAACCAAAGTAGTGCCGAACGCAATTGCGAGCCGTGTGATGTATAATAGAAGAGGCGAGCTACTTGTCAATGTGCCCGAAGAAAAGGTACAATGATTCCTTGATCAAAAAATTCGATAAGTGTTCATCTGAGGAGTAACGTTGCCACGTGAAACGTTAAATCAGTAAGTCTTTGTCATTTGGATGTTTCAGTAAAACCAGCACAGGATCGGTTGCTAAGCGCCCAAACTAAATAGAGGATAAGAAAGCGGAAAGCGGTTTACCAACTGGTCCAAGTGTTACGTAAACGCCCGTTAGTGATGAGGAAAACAAGCACATACGTCGCCCCGGAAATTGTATGTTGCACAATTAGCGGTGATTGACGAGCCATGGAGCGTTTATGTTGTTAACGCTATCGTTTATATCACGAAAGCTTTGTAAATGAGTACCAATATTATATTTATTTATTATTTATTATTTTATTATAAATATTTCCCCAAAACTGTTAATTAAGTTTTGATGGTTTTTGTTTAAATTGAATGAGAGTTCATGTTCCTACGTCTGTCTACACGATACAATTTCGAACAGTTTGCGCTTAAAAACGAGTACTCGCAGATCATGTGACCGCTGCAAGATTATTTTTAAATGTTGCTCGCGGATTTTTTACCGGTCCCTCTCTACACTGGTCCAAATTTGCGGACCGGTAGCATTGTGACGTCCATGAGCGGTTGAAGCACGCTTAAGCTGAATTAACTATTTTGTCTAGCTTTCAAATAGAACAAAAGTCGCATTGTACCAGCGTTATATCGTAAATATACGATAACCGAAACACGAGGGTTCGATAAATGCATATAAAATGACGTAAACATGTTCATAAAAGTAGATGTTGTACAGTGCATATCGTGCAAGTTGACGAGTGGCGATAGCCCAACAGTAAGGTCAGCATCATATCATACGACATTTGTTCAAATGAATTAAACCTACCCATAGTCAACATCAAAAAAAATTTTTGTAAGTTTAAATGGTGAGACGAAAATTAGGTCAATAAGTTGAAAATAACGTTAACATTCTATCAATTCTATAGAAAATGCTACGAATTTGCATTAACACCGTAAAACCTCTTTTCTAACTGCGTCATATTAGTGTTTAACACATTTAGACAGTGCTGTACACACTGTCGTACTATAGCTAATACCCAGGCCAAAAGAGCTCTCACGACCTTCTTTTCATTTTTTTTAACATTACTGTTTAATTTTTAAAATATTATCTCTGCTACAGTTTTATTTTTGGGATATGACATTATTTTAAAGCCTACCGCCTCACGCGGGGTCACCGGCTCTATGACCTTCAAAACAGTAATTCAGTTGTTTGTTCTTTTCGACGAATTTTCCAATTGAGAACGCGGCCAAAAAAACCTGAGTTACTTGTGTCACGAAAATTAAAAATAATCTACACATTACACAAATGTGACGATGGGATCCAAATGGGCAATAAACATGTGTATGTGTCCACATTAGCGCGGGAATTCGCAACGCTGTGCAAATATCAAATAGGGTGGCTATACTGATTAAAGAAGTTGATTTTGACGGAGACTTCTACCAGGATTTACATACATTACATATGCAGGAACTGAGATCTATTAAAATCCTCGCATATTGAAAGTATAGAGACGATCTATCTTCTCGTGCTCTTGCGGCAGAAGAGAATACGATTGATCATTGTCGCGTAATATTTTAGTATACCACAGTTTTGGGGCACGTTTAGTCCGCGGACACGTTTCTCGATGTTAAATTGCACCAGCGTGTCCGGAGAAAACGTACAAACTCGTTGTGAGCGTAGTGCGACGCGAAGATGGGAATTCCAAATTGCCGACACATGCGCTGCAGCAGGCCCGTTTAAAAATTCACGACGACATAATACACAACCAAGCCGCGACGTGTGAATAAAGGCGAACAGTCCACCCCGAACTCGATTAGACTTTCACGAGGTATCAAATGAAACACTTACTGCTGATGGATTGTTTACAAGTGAATGTGAGTTAAAATAATAAGTACCGCTAGTCAACAAATTAGATCTGAAAGTTCTGTTTTTGTGAAACTTTCTCTTTCGCACATCCGACGGATTGTCCAATTCGTGCTATTGCACACTTCCGTAAGGACTTAAGCGACCACCGCGATAAATTCGTTACACTCGATCTCATACAACGGCGTGGAAATAACCGCGCAGCTGGCCTGGCCCAAATCCAGAGCTATTCCCGGCTAGACATAAATAAATCGTCATAGAGCGCGCTCGAAAATATCCCCGGGAAAATTTAAAGAGTTATTCCACTACGATTTATTTCCATTGCGGGTGAGCAATTTCAGGCGCCATCCATTTTGGCCGGGTTCATCTCGTGTTGAAGGGAAGATATCGCTTTGTAATAACACTTCTATGAAAGGTTTCCTAACACCACATATTTATATCAAATGTGTATTGTTAATAATATTTATTTTGAGCCTGGAATATTCAATTGTGAAGTCATATTTGCAAAGTGCCCATTGAAGTTCTGGAAAATGCCACGGGCATTCAGGTCACTTAGCACAATGTCACTAAATTTAAAATCCGCATTACTACTATCGACTAATGCTTGATCACGTACGCAATTAGTAACCGGTGGGCTAGATTTGAAATGCATAAGGCAAAGTTAACAATGAAAGTATATTAAAGTACAATAAGTAGACCTAAATATGCTTCAGTGAGTCTTGGTACTATATGGACGACGGAGTAACTATTGTAAGTGAAGGTTACACCGAACTTAAGACTTTCGGTGGCATGTGTGATCGCATCGTCGATCGAATCGAGGAAGATGAATGGAATCGACAACAATGAGGCCGAGGGAAGTGTACCCGTTGCGGAACTAGTATGACTAGTCGTCGGTCGGTTTCTTGAAAATATCATAAGAATTCTCGGAAGTGGTGATTCAAATCTCGTTTTGCTCTCGATGCACCTACGCGAGCGGTATCCGCGCATCGGCGCCTCATTGTCGAACGTTTTCAATGGTGGAGCGGTCGTGCGAGTGAGTCGATGTCGTCTATTAACAGGTTTAAGAAATTATTATTGTCGATGAATAAATGATTTTGATTTTGATGGCACGGCGCCGAGCAAATAACTGCTTTTCGTTTAGGTTGTGTTGATGATGGTGTGATATTAAAGAATTCAGTAGATTTCCCAGTATAGCAAATCGAATTTTGTACATTTATCTCGTTCAAAGTCAATTCACTGTGAAGAAGCGTTGATGCATGGCCGCGGTGGAATTTTATTAATAGGTCGGCGCGTGGCGGCCGCGAAGTAGGGGGGGGGGGGGGGGGGACCAAGGCGCGGCAGTGGAGGGGGTCTGGGAGGGGGGAGGTCGGTGTGCGCCAAGCTGGGGTTTTCCAGAAATGTGGCGCGCGAGTCGATGTCGCTGGCCTTATATGGCCGACGACGATCGTGTTTTCACCGCTTCCGTGCTCGGGGAGAGCGGATAGGGGGGAGGGGACGGGTTCGAGTGCCGGGTACGAACCCGTCCGAAGGCACCGCAGGCCGACGAGACGTTAGGAGAAATTCCGACGAGGTACCTCGGTTCGACGGCGGCCGGGTGACGTAGGCGCACGCGGACCTTCGCGGAATGTAAATTACGATGCGAATACACAATTAAGTATTTACGTAACGATCACATGACGAGAACAAAAAATTAAAGCCAATACGTATGTTAATTTGTACGCATATGTGTGTTTATATGTCGTATAGAGTTGTGTGTCAAAGCGCTCGTAAATAAAGAGGTATTCTAACTGGGACATCTATTTCTCGACTCCGCCAACGGACTAACACACTTGGACAGGTGTCCAATTAGAGTAACTTGGATGTTTCGGATCAGAATAAGGCGCATACAGATTGTTTCTAAGCTGTAGATCCATTGCAATGTCGATCTCAAATCATCTTACGGTGTAGTTAGCGGTCGTCACGTGGTGAATGAATTTCCATATCGCTACTTGAGCGGTGACAATGGAAAATCGGGTCGTGCGGTGGAAAACCCCGAGTGCGCGACGGCAGCACGCGCTCACAGATAATGCGCCCTTTTTCAATGGCGAACCGCGCATATAATGAAATGCCAATTGTTCGACGGAAATTCATTTTCCGAGAAAATTGTGATTTCGTCTTTGAACAATGTATTCGTATCTGCATCATTGATATTGGATCGATGCTATAATTTAGGTGGCCACAGATGTGATGTTCTTTGAAAACGGCCTTTCTCCAGAAAGCTTGCTTTATCTCCTTTCTCAAGGAACGACAGATAGGAATTAACAGCTAAGGAGTTAATGAGGCACGTGTCTGTCGTTTTCGAACGTCTCGTAAACGACACTCGGAACGATTGAGATG